CAGCGCCACCTTGGCCGTCGAGCAACCGCAGAACTGCTGTCTTTGCACATGGAACTATACCGCCACGCTGGAAAACAAGCAAGATCGTGGCATTGCTGAAGCCAGGCAAGGCTCCTCATGATATGCTACCTTACAGACCTGTGGCGCTAGCAAGTTGTGTCGGAAAACTTATAAAACGCATGGTTCTGTTGCGCTTAGAATGGTTCCTACAGAAGCAAAGAGTATATCCAGACACCATGACTGACTTCCATAAGAAAAGGTCATCAATAGACAATGTGATCGATTTAGTAACAACCGTTTAACATCAGAAACGGCACCGCCGATTGACGGCTGCAGTCTTTCTTGACATCAAAGGTACTTTCCACAATCCTGCATGAGACCATTCTAAATGCTCTTGAATACTATGGCAGTGGCGGCCGTATGCACCAATGAATGGCCAGCTATCTTCAAGAAAGAACCATATACGTGTCTATTGCCGACGGTTACACAAATAAGCATCCGGTCTATCGTGGCATGCCTGAAGGTGGCGTCCTGAGCCCCAAATTGTTTAATATCGTACTTGTTGACCTCGTTGAAAAGCTAAGGGGCAAAGTCTCTGTCTTTGTGTACGCAGATGACATTTGCATCTGCAAAACAAGTTAAACACGTTCGCAAGTACAAACGAAGCTGCAACGTGTGGTATTGACAACGTCTGCATACCTCAATACCTGTGGTCTGTTACTGTCTTGAATGAAAAGTGCAACCCTGACATTCACGACAAAGCCCATGACTTGCTACCCGGTAGTGATCGATGAGAACGTAACATTTTCGGTAACTCATTCCAAGTTCCTCGGAGTTATCGTCGATTGTGATTTGTCTTAGTCGAAGCACGTCTCTTCGTTAAAAAAAACTAGACAGCTTTGTCCAGGTCCTTTGCCATATGTCTGTAAAATCATGGGGACCATAGATGAATCATCTCTATATTACATCTACACCATGCACTTTTTGTTGGATACCTCCGCTACAGTGCTGCTGTCCTCTCCCGAGTTCGCGCATCTGCTGTATACGTACACTCGAGGGGGCTCAGGCGCGTGCCCTAAGAATGCGCCTAGGGGTACCTCGATGTACCTCTATACATGGGTCACTATGGCAGAAGCACATGCTTGTCCCGCTCGTATTCATCTCCAACACGAGCCACTAAGAGTACATCTGTGGTGGTTCGTGGGCCCTCAGACACAGACAAGCTCACGGAAAGAAAACATTTATGCACAAGAAAGACATTTATGCTCACGGAAAGAGACATTCAAGCCCAAATACACACAATTTAAATACATGGCTGAACAGTAAAACACGGTTACGTTCCCTCTGACCTTAGTCTTTACAGTCCCGTAGCCTACGCCCTGACTTCTTCGGGGACTATCGTACGTAAACGACACTCATGGTGCCGGTGACCGCGTAGTCGACGCATGCTTGAAGCAGGAGAGGCAGGCGCGCTGACTCGTCCGGCTCAAGAACGCTCCGAAGCACGATGAGGCCGCGCAGCGCCGAGACCACGCTGCAGTCGGTTGTACCGGATCGCGAACCTACACCTGGTGCCAAGGCCGTACCCTCAGCATGCGGTTGTGCCGGACCCCAGCAGACTCAGCACCGTGGACCGACTCTGTAGCTGGTTGGTCTCGGACACCATCTGGTCACGATCCGCAGCCCGTACTGGCCCACTCACACGTTCACCCAAAAGACGCACCGCGAGGCCTGGTCTGGAAGCCACCCGCTCACCGCAAGAAATGCCAGGCGCGTCCCGGCTGATCCGATGGCCTCAACCTGGCAACGCACGCTCTGTCAGTCAACGTTCCAAGGTTTATGCGCCCCACACTCGCCTTCGTTCATTCGTTAGTTCGTTCGTTTGTTCGTTCGTTTGTTTGTTTGTTTGTTTGTAGCCTTTCGCGCGCACACTTCGTCATACTCGTTTGCGTCACCACTTTTGCTTCGCTCTTTCAGTTTCAATTTCTCTTTCGGTATCTTACTACAATATATGTACCAGTCTCTTCTACAACATATGAGGTTACTGAGAAGGCATCGAGACCATCAACTGGCGGATGTTTTTAACACACGACCTAATGCTGCATTATCAAAAGCTGTCATGTTGCAACGAGACCTGCTGTCTTCAAATTATACACCACATGTGATATCCGACAGCTTTAACTTTGCCTCACATGGGAATCCCGCAACGCTTCAAAATAGCCACACCGCACATCACCTACACCCGCTCAGCTGACCAGCGTGCGACAAGCTGCGTGCTACATTTTGCAGCAGAGTCCTGTGAAGTGGACTGTTTTTTGCGACTCCAAGCTGGCACTTCAGCTAAATAGAAACTACATGAAGCAAGAAACTGCATACAGTCCTCTGGTGTGTGACATAATGAATATGTTGAATGAGGCGTTTTAATCCGTAAACACCATTGCGTTGCAATGGATTCTCAGTCACTCTAGCATACGTGGAAATGAACAAGCTGACGCAGAAGCGCAAATGGCGCACACTAGCGGTGAATCGATGTTAATTCACTTTCCCGATAGTACATCAACGCCTTGCTGTCTAATGGTATGAAAACGTCCAAGACACGCTTATGGAATGATCCGGATTATTGCCACAAGTGCATTTATAGGCCTGACTGTGGTCGTGCTTTTCGTCTTCTGTTCCGACTAAGGAGAGACCATGCAGAAACGGTATACTACACAGATGGCGGCTGGTTGTTGCATATACGCGAGAATACCAATGCAAGATGGGATTGGAGCAAAATCCTAACTGCAGTTTGAGTCACACACCCGAGACTATCGACCACATCCTGTGCGTGTGCCCTCCGCGCGAAAAGACAATCTCTGAAGTGCCTCACTGATCATCTAGACTAACGACCCATTTCAGATGGAATTTTTTTTGGGTGCTTGCGAACGTGTGGACCGTTCCGAACGCAGTTTGAAGGTCTTGCTTGCATTTCTAAACAAGACAGGTTCAGATTCCCGTTTTTAGAGACTAGTGCGTGTCCTACACCGAAGGACACAGTGTGTGCAGTGACTCAATATGTCATATCGCAATCACCCCTCATCACGGCCTCCCCTTTTTCTTTCTTTCCCTTTTCTCGTTGCCACCATGAGAACTAGCAGACTAGAAGCCTGCTTTCAGGCTGACCTCTCCTCCTTTTTCTCAATAAACACCTTCTCCTTCTTCTTCTTCCTACTCTTTTAGCACGCAAGAGTTATTTCCTCATCCAGTGCTACAACGGAAAGTGCACTGGGTGATTGACATGCAGAGAAAACTAGAATAAAACTGTATATGTTTTGGGGGTTCACGCATGCATCATATTATCACATCTGATTCAGTTGCGGACGCTTCTTATTTTTTTTTACTTTAAGTGTTGTTCTCTTACAGTAATAATGAATTCACGTTTTATTCTTTGTGTTGATTCATTTTTTTATTATCAGAAAAAACTCAAGGCATGCCCGTGCGCAAGCTCTATGCAGCCACTTGATATATCTTGCTTCATCAAAAATTACATCGGATTGGGGTGATCACCAGTGTTATTTCTTGAATATTGCTGCAAACTCTTTTTTGTTACCTTCAAACATGCCACGTGTAAAGAAGGACGTCAGTGATATATGATATATAGACAGATTGATGTGATCACATGCTAGTGGCAGGGTAATGCTAACTTATTGAGTTTTCAGGGACTGCTCCACTTTGCCTGGTCGCTCATAGATGCTCAGATCTTTAGTGGTATACGCATTTTCGTGGAAAGCACCTGATAGCTTTTTCTGGAGTCAGAGTGGGCCTACAGCTTGTTTTCCTGCTCAATAATAATAATAATAATAATAATAATAATAGTAATAATAATAATAATAATAATAATAATAATAATAATAATAATAATAATAATAATAATAATAATAATAATAATAATAATAATAAAGTGTGCGTGTTTGTTTGTTTGTGTATATGTGTGCGTGTGTGCGCCTTCCCTCCTATTCATGAAAAGAACTAAAAGAACATGGAAGTGACCCGCACCAACAGGGGGAAGTGGATTTGTCTTTCGCTGGCGGCCAGTGAAGTCACCGTGTGTTAATGTTCCCTCGTATTGACGTGCGTTGTCGATCACGGGCCATAAGGTTGGCATCAAGCATCGATCAAATAGAAAAGACGGATAGGTTTTGCTGTCAATACATAACTGCCTTGGGATGTTGTTAAATGGGAAAATTAATAATGGATGTTTAGAGAAGACATAGCAAGAAGCAAAGGAATGAAATAAAGCACGCACCGAAAATATGAACAACTGTACTTGAGTGGCATATGTTGTGCCAAACGATATCTTTTTATTGAGTTCATATGTTCCAGAAAAATATACAAACAAGGCATTCTGCTTGACGTTTAATTTTGATCTGGTTTGCAACACACAAAAACGAATTCTACATGCTGTCCATATTACCTCGGGTTAGCGGCGGGATAATATGCGGGAGTCATACCATAGCAAGGAGTCAGTCGTCGAGAAGACGTCGAATGAGCTCCTTCGAGTGGAACCGGTGAGAGTGCATTGGAATATGGTAGTAAACAGAGACGGAATGTACAACAGAAGAAATTCGATCCAGTCACTTGGTCCATTCGCGCAGTTCTTATCGGGTGTGAAATATGGTCTCACGAGGTGCCCGCCAATCTGGGGAGGGGCGCAAGCGACGTGTGTCCCAGAACCGGCCACAACAATGGTGTCAGCGACTGGCGGCCAGTGCGACACGGTCCAGCCTCAAGGCCACGCTCCACCTTTGAATGAGCGAAAAGAGAGCCGATGCCAGTTTGTTCACGGCGCTCTTTTGTAGCGCCTTCTTTCCAAGAGCAGGGAGCGATACCAGCCGTGGGGCGTCCCGTGTGACGCGCCGCCAGAGAGAGGAGAGGCCGAAACGAGGGCGAGAAGAACGCGGCCCGGTGGCGCTCCCAGCGAAACCACCTAAACATGAAAGTTACCGCCGAGTCGGCAGCAGCATCTCTGCGCTGCTCCCGCCTCGATCTCCTCTGGCCGGCGGACGCAGCGCATCGCTCATGAAGCGCTGGCTGCCGCTCATCGCCGTGGCCCTGGTCGCCAGCGCAGCCGGCCTCACACCCGGGGACGTGATTGTCAAGAACGAGCCGCTGACCGTACCTCTGGGACGCTCGGTGTTTCTGAGCCCGTCGGAGGACCTGCGAATACGAGTTGCACCGGGAGACCGCTGTGACGTGTACGTCGTTCAGGCAGAGGATGGCGAGCCCGCATCCGTCCTGTACTGGAATCGGCCCGGAAGGCTGCAGCCCACATCTTTTCCATGTGGATTTGGCTTCGGCACTGTGTCCTACACGCATTTTGGGTCCAGGATAACACCGCTTCTTGACAGGGTGCGACTCCTCGTCAAGTATGAGGCGGAGAACGAGACGCTGATAGTGCCATTGTTATTGTCGGTGGATGTGTCACCGGAGCCGTATCAGATTGCAGTGAAAGTGAGTCCTCTTTCCGTGCCATCAATTGGGGCTGAGACCAAGCCCATCAATGAAGATGTCCTTACTTTCAGTGCCCGGGAACCAGGAAGTATTTGCAGGGTGCGTGTCTTATCAGAAATTCACCAGCTTCCTCGTTATGGTGGGTTAACTGGTGACGTCCCGACGCAATTCGTCAATTGCGAGTCTTTTCTTCAAGGCGATGTCCGGTATCGCCACAATGGTGGGCCACAGTCACTCAAATGGGACTACGTGCCGTTCCTCGTCGAGGTCACCGATTCCTCGGGCCATTCATCGAGGAAGGAGCGCTTTCACTTACCCATAAAGATTGAAGCAGGAATTGAGAACTCTGCTCCCCTACCGACTTTCGCATCTGAGCTTCGCCTCGACGTCAGCCAGTTCATAATGACTCCGCTGACTCCCGCCGTCCTCTCAGCAGATGATTCGGATGGCGACAGCGGTGCATTGCTCTTCAACTTCAGAACAGTTCTTGGTCCCGGAGAGGGCCACTTTGTGACAACCGATGACGGTCGTGTGCCAATTACTTCGTTTTTCCAAAAGGACGTGCAAGCCCTAAAGATAGCCTATGTGCCCCCTCTGGCGCAGTCCAATGACAGCCGAGTGTTTCGAGTTGAAGTAGAGGTGATTGATCCAGACGGTGCGGCTTCGGATCCGTTCTCTCTCATGATTGTCGTGAAACCAACGAACACAATGGCTCCTCTGGTTACTAAGAACAGTGGGATCACGCTAGTTGAAGGGAAATTGAAAAAACTTGGTGGCAGTTTAGCTATCTCTGATCAGGATAACCGCGAAGACGTTGTCTTCACCGTAGTTCATGGAATGAGGCACGGAAACCTTCTGGTGGATGCTGGCGAAGCCGACATGTTCACGATTGCTGAATTGGACGAAGGGCGCGTCGCTTATCGACACGATGGAAGCAGTACAAGCACAGACAATATCGTATTTAAGGTGAGCGATGGACAACACGACGTTGAGTTTCTTTTTCCTGTCATCATTTATCCAGTTGACGACGAACCTCCACTCTTGGATATTAACACCGGCATCACGATCTACAAAGGAGAGGACGCCCAAATTTTATCTCGCTACTTAAGTGCCACCGACGTTGACAGCGATGATTTCGGCATTCTCTTTGAGTTACTGCCCCCGTTTCCAGAACATGGCACATTGCTGGTGAAGAAGCATGAAAAGCCACCAGATTCTTATCATTGGCTGTTCAAGGACGACATGTACGAGGCAGAGGTGACCAAGTGGGAGCAGGTAGATTTGCTCGAAGGAAACCTATACTACCGCCACTCAGGAGATCACGTTTCCGAACCGATCACAGACCGCGTCTTTTTCCAGCTCTCTGACGAAAACGAACCGCCAAATGAATCCGGTATAAACGAGTTTGTGGTCAGGATTCTTCCTGTCGATGACGTGCCACCAGAGAAGCACCCCGACGCCACGCTTCACCTCCTCGTAGAGGAGTTCCAGCTGACGAGCATCACGACGAAGGAGTTACGTTACCGCGATCTCGACACGAAAGAAAAAGAGCTCCGCTATCGGATCACGCAGCCGCCTTTCGACACGGACGCCAGCAACCCGATGAGCGCGGGCTCAGTAGTGCGCATGGACGAACCGGACACAGATGTCACAGAGTTTACGCAGGCGGAAGTTAACCACCATAAAATTGGTTACCAACCCCCTTCGGCGGAACTGGGAATTGTTCCTAGGGTAATAAACTTCGAGTTCGAGGTGCGCGACAACGGCGACAACGTCATCAGCGGTCAACTATTCACGATTATCTTGCAGCCTGTAGACAACAAACCGCCCGCAGTGCACAATCGTGGCTTAAGTGTCACGGAGAAAGCTTCCGTGGAAATCACCCCGGAGGACCTCGACGCGATTGATACGGATACGCCTAGTGAAGAGCTAACCTTTGTGGTGATCAAGGTTCCCGCCTACGGAGCAATTCAATTGGGGGGAAGTGTCTTAAATGAAAATGACTTTTTCAGGTGCTCAGATATTGCGAGTGGTCATTTATCGTATAAAAACACTGGTAGTTCTGGAAGAAAATTGGACAAGTTTGAGTTAGAGGTTCGTGATGGAATACATAGAGTTCCGGTTACTGTTAAGGTGAACATCAAACCACTTTCTGAGGAATCGCGTGTTCCAAAGAAGCCCGGTACCACCAATGTGCTCTTGACTGTTAAAGAGGGAGGCAAAGTTTTGTTGCAGAGTCAGGCCTTCAACATACAAAACTATGTTGATCATGCAGGTAGCCTTCAATTTATTCTAACACATGCTCCCAGACAGGGCAGCATATTTGACAGTGGAATGAAAGCAAATCGATTTTCTCTGCAAGATCTTCTGAAGCGAAAAGTCTTCTATGTTCACGGTGGCATCGAGACTGGTGTAAGTGGTTCTAGTGACCTATTTCAACTCAGTATTACTGATGACTCAGGAACACGGAGAATTGACGATGCTCTCATTCACGTGAAAGTTGAGCCTGTAGATTCGGTACCTCCCCGTGTCTTGATTGGACCGTCTCTCGTTGTTCCTGAAGGCGGCAAAGCCACGATCACACGTGTGCATCTATCTGCTACCGACGTAGACACGAGTGATGAAGATATTCTCTGCAGCATCGACGTGCAGCCAAGCCACGGGTATGTTGAAAACCTGTCACCTCTGCCGGGATCTGAGCGTGTGCATACAGGCGTACCTGTGTCGGCATTCACATCGGCAGAAGTAATATCTGGTTGGATAAACTACGTTCAAAGCATACACAGAGGATTCGAACCACTGGAAGACAACTTTACCTTCGTTTGCTCTGACGGTGTGAACACTAGCCCCAAACATAAGTTTCACGTGCAGATAACACCGAAAAACGATGAGGTGCCAGAGATAACAATAGATGAGATAATTGTGTCGGAAGGGTCTGATAGATCGTTGGAGGAGATTGTAACCCAAACAGCAGACATAGACAAGCCCAGTGACAAACTGACATTCCGGGTCACAAAGCCGCCTCAGCACGGGAAGGTATTATCGACGAGAACGCTGCAACTGGAATCCTTCGACAGCGACGACGTGGCCGCACCATTCTTTGTAGTATATAGGCATGACGACAGCGAGACGACGGCAGACTCATTCGAGCTGTCTGTCAGTGACGGACAACATGAAAGTCGCAAACAGATCTCCTGTGATCATAACGCCGGTAGATGACGAAACACCCCGGCTCGCTGTCAATGATGGTTTGGAGGTTGGACTGGAAGAAAAGAAAGCCATCACAAACCGCGTTCTGAGAGCCCAGGACATCGATTCTGACGATTCCAGCTTGACATACATCTTAAGAGACATACCTAGGCACGGGAGGCTGCAAGTCTTGAATTCCACCACTTATCAGCCTTCGCGCGACTTGACCGTAGCAGTCTAACTTTACTCAGCAAGACATTGACAGTGGGCTCATCATGTACACGCACACCGGAGCACCCGGAGTCCGCGATCTTATTAGACTTGATGTCACGGACGGCACCAACTGGCTAATTGACCAGTACTTCTGGGTGACCATTGAGAGCATCGACGTCATCTATCCGGAAGTAGTCAATCGAGGAGTGAGAGTGCCTGAAGGAGGCAAGGTGACGCTCACCACTGCCGCACTGAGCACGACAGACCTGAACAGTGACGATGAACACCTTCGCTTCACCATAACGAAATCACCCGGGAAAGGGCACCTCGAAAGCTCAGATGCCCCAGGAGTGATAATCAGGTCCTTCACGCAGCTGGAACTTGGCGGGAAACAAAATCAGCTACGTACACACTAGCAAGGACGAGAGCAAGCTCGACAACTTTGAATTCGAGGTGAGCGACGGCCGAAACTCGGTGTACCGAACCTTCCGAATCTCCATCACCGACGTGGACAACAAGAAGCCCGTAGTGTTCATCTCGCCATTGAGACTACGCGAAGGGCAGCGAGCGCCTGATCACGCCGTTCGAACTGAAGGCCGACGATATGGATACTCCAGACAGGAACGTTCACTTTCGCGTCATTCACAGGCCACTGCATGGCCGCATCTTTATCGACAGGTCCCGCGAGGCCGTTTCCTTCACCATGGCCGACCTGGGGGACAACAGGTTGTCCTACTCCCACGACGGCAGTGACACGAAGCAGGACAACTTCACGTTCGTGGTCAGCGACGGCGTCCACCGTGATTTCTACGTGCATCCGAACGTGCAGCACCCGACGCGCGAGCCGCAGCTGTTCCCTGTGGAAGTAGTCGCGGTTGACAACAGCCCTCCCCGAGTGGCGGTGAACAGGGGAGCCTCGGCGCTTTCCTACTTGGATGGATCGCGCCGGCTCGGATTTCGCTTCAACAGTGACGTGCTGCGCGCGTGTGACAGCGACAGCGTGGATGCCAGGCTCAAATATGTGGTGAACGTGCTCCCCACCCATGGAATTCTCGTCAACCGGGCCGTCGGCAATCGAAGCGTCGTGGAAGTTCACGCAGGGTGAGGCCGAGCTTCGTTCGTTGCATTCCTCTCTAGGGTTGTCAAAAGGATTTGGAATTGGCAAATGAGCTACAGTTTGAATTTAGCCGTCACCCGAAACTTCTGAATATACAGCTCAGTGATAATAATTTCGTCATGCCAAGGAGACTTCGGGAAAACTAATAATTATTTTAGTGCATTTTCAAGTTATTGTAACAAATCCCCCAAATGAATATGGCAGTACTTACGCTTGTTTCATAGTTTATGCTGAGCCGATATGATTTCACAATTGGGCTTTATGAATTTTGTATTCTTCAAAAGTTCACCAATGGTTAACTTTCATTTCGCTGACTGAACCATACACATTGTTGTGCATAGTCCACTTTTGCTGAAAACTAACATTTCAAGCGTTCGAACCTGGCTTCATGCAACAAAATACTTGTGTTGGTAAACAGCCCAAGATGTTTGGTGCACAGTTCATCCACTTTATTGGCAGAAGAAATTCCACGCAATCATGCGTCTCTCTGAGAGTATCTTTGATTGAATAATTGAAGAGCATAGTAACAAAATGACATTGTTTTCTTTGAGTGTTCCTGGAAGTTTAAACTCACACATGTCCGACCATTGCCCATACAAATAACCTTCAATAACGCAATCGCCTTGCAGTTAAGCGAAGCTGTGCGATCGACTGCTAGCTTGTAGAAATGCAATACGATAAGTAACGCGCACGCTCGAGAAAGGCACCGATTGGTATCTTCCGCAAATACCTTTGCTCGACTGACGCTAAATGATAAGGATACTTTATAACTGCATTTTATCATATTTGGTCTTGCACTTCTTCAGTCCGGAAAATGCCCAGATATAATGCTTGTGATAAATCTTTTCTTGTTATTATTGCTGTGCGAAATCCTCTCCGTGAATTCTGCCAGCATACGTTCGCTTCTTCCCACATACGCGCGTTCTTTTCTTTACATACATGTCCTCCGGTGCGCGTGTTCTTGCGTACAAGACATTACAGATTGTCACAGAATCGTTTTTTTTTTCTAAATAAAAGCCATAAGCACTCCACAATAATTTATTTATTTGACGTGAGATGGGAAGGAAGTAAGATAAATATTAGCGAGTTTGCACAGACGCCCCCTCACATTACAGAAATTACATGAACCATGGCCTAAAATTCATGTTAATTGAACAGCGAACATCTTCCTGAGAGACTTCTTAGTGGACAACGAACTGGATAGGGGGTTGTATATAAATACAGGTGTTATACGGTATGATGGGGTAGTCCCTACATTGTGGGCCACACTATAAATGTGTGCGTATGGCCGCTCTATTAAAATGTGATTGTTTACAAGCAAACAGTACATTGTCATGCTACATGGTCGTAGGCAGAAAGGAAAACATTTTTCTAGGGGGGGTTGGAGATCACCATTTTGATCTCTATGGGAATGGGTACTGGGCGGGTCGAGTGTCGCTTTGCGCTCTGCATGCCACGACAAAAAAAAAATAAAGAAAAAATGGGGGGAGGGGGGGACATGGGCCCGGTGTGCCCTCGCCTGGCTACGCAACTGTCCATGCTATGTAACTTGTTTCAGAGTTTTATATGTTATTCTTTTTCTCTGTAGTTGCTCCAATATTTTCTTGAGTAACTTTTTGATTACTTTATATATTACTTTTGTGCTGCAAATTTTATAGAAATAAAATGCCCGCGGTATACAAATCCTACCTCGCCACAACAAGCTAGTTAAACGGAACATAAGAAAAACATTAAGTAAGTAATTAACGCACGCTTTGCTTATCTGTGCGTCTTTTTATGTATTTTTCGGTATACATCATCCCCGCCGTTTGTAGTGCCAGTGATTGTGTGAGAACTATTGTTCCAGGTGGCAGGACCCCGTCAGCTGTTGTAATAATAATAATAATAATAATAATAATAATAATAATAATAATAATAATAATAATAATAATAATAATAATAATAATAATAATAATATAATAATAATAATAATATAATATAATAATAATAACGGTTTTAGTCCCACCAATACACAGCTGATTGAGGGGTCGAGTGTAAAAGCGACTATTCTGTTGAATGTGTTCTCACTCTACTATATAATAAGGCCGTGGCGGTGGCACCAACTTTCGTCCTCATTTCCCAAGTGTATGCCTTTGTACACTCGAATGAACATAAATTCATTTCGACGTTCTTTAATCTGCTTAGACAAGTAAACTTCTTATCATTTGTATCTTCGCTCGTATGAGACGTCAAACCAGCACGTATAACAAACCAAACTCATATATGTGCACGTTAGCTGTCGAAAAACTGTATAACGACGATTACGATCCACCTGATACGAAATGCGCGAACGGCCGTACGGGTGTTTTCATTTGGCGAGCCGGAGAATTTCAGTAAGATGTACCGACCACTCTTGGTTTACATTTCCTATTATTTGTTTCTCTGTATTTTCTGTTTTGATGGTGCCATCTACAGTTCCAAAAAGCTCTTTATTTTATTCATCTTTTATTTTACTTTGTTTTTGAATTGTTTATTGCCCTTTTTTTCTAGTTTGGCAGTGCGAATTGCCGGGCTACAAAGAGTCGTCTCGCTGTAGGCGCGCGAGCCGGGATATTTTTCAATGTGCTCGTTAGCTTCGTTACGGCGAGAGACAACAGCTCTCGACTTATAGGAGCGGGCACCTCAGACCAGCGTTCTCAAGCCTGATTTCATGCGCACAGAAAAAGGGCCTCCTTGAATTACCACGCCGCTCTTTTAGAGCCAATGCAACAAACTTCCCACGCGTTGCATCACGCCGCAAATAGCGTGCACCTCTTGATATCATGGACTCGCAGGAAATATGAGTTAGGAGAACTTAAGGGAAAAAAAAACGACATTTTGTCAGTAATTTCCATGAAGCGAGAAACATGAGACCCAAAAACACTCACTACTGATGTTCTCACGGTTGAGTGCACCCTTCCCCACAAGAATGCATCCAAGCTTAAGCACACTTAATAAATTTTCTAAGCAAAAACTTGAGGTAAAGAAAGCGTCGAGATATGAAAAAAAAAATTCGACTGAAAAAATGGGTCTCTGTAGAAGATGAGCCCCATGAAAAAAAATAGGGGAGAGGAGATGCAGCCTCTCGTTGCATAAGCCGTTTATCGAGGCTTTTTCAGGGCTCTGACTAGGCATGAAAAAAAAAGCAGTTGATGAAGAAGCAAAGAAAATTTGAACGAAGAGAGAAAAACTGTTGTAGCAACAACCAAGGACGTGCTCATCTATCTGCCTTGGGACGGCGTCATTCGAGCACAGCATGTAGTGATGAAACAAAGAACGCCTTCAAGACACGCGGAGAACCGTGAAGGGGCTCGTGAATTCCAAGAGTGGAGGCAGACGCCACCCGTTTAACCATGCCTGCCACAGCGACATACAGTCCTGAGCTCGAAGCGTTGCTCTCCTACTTCTTTTCCTAAATATGCGGCTCACCTACCAAGGCTTCCCCTTATTGTAACATCATTTTGGTCCCTTGAAGTATGTCACCTCGATTCGGCAGGATATCCAAGTAGTCTAACTTGAAATGCCTCGGCCCTGTTGTGGCTTAAGTGGCGTTGCTCTCGACGGACTACTAAACTGGCCAATCTTGCCCCTGTAATATGAACTTAGAGAAAATTTTCGTATACGTACTCGACCACTTGGCGTCGTTTCAGCGTAAGCGCCCAACGACGTCGAATAGGTTGAATTGAAGTGTCTATATAGTTGACATCCCTCGCGCGTCATGTCACCGATGTTTCGCAAAAGAGATATGATCTTTAGGCACCAGGTTCCTAAATTAATTTTGTCTCAGTGCTAATAGTAATAAAGGAGAAGGGCTTCTTCCATCAGCTTACTCGTGACGAAAGTGCCTTATGCCATGGTCCAAGACTTCACTGACGTAATACCGTCTCAGAAACGACGTCGAAAAAATACAAAGGAAAAAAGTTCTGTCATCGGCAGCCGGGCGAACCAACAACCTCTCGGTCTGAAACTATTGATGCCGGGCCTGCTATCCATGGTGCCATGGTAACGTTTCTTTTTCTTTCAGCTATGTTGGCTTTAAAAACACGCCTTTTATATCTAACCTTGTCCTCTCATAGCGTTCTTGGTAAACTGAATGCAGGAACAGCGCAACCTAGAAGTAGTTACTTCGTAACTACGGAACAAGAGTTTTGCTGACATTGTACCGCAGTATAGTTGTTCCTGCACCCTTCTACGCATGCCCGTTTTTCTCATTTTTCGCCTATATATGTACACCACTCCGGCATTAAATCTTTTTTGAAAGTCAGCGCTCTTTTCTGTCCTTGTCTTTTCGCTTCCGTAGTTACGAAGTAACTACTTCTAGGTTGCGCTGTTCCTGCATTCAGTTATGTCCTACCAACTTGCCCAAGCTTCCACGCTTCATAACTTCGTTCTTGGTAAAGTCCAGAAATCCATCAGGACCGTGACATTGGCGATTAGTTCCTTCAACGCGTCGTTTCTAAGCGGCTGTCAAATTCGGCCAAATGTCACAAGCTTTTATGACTACAATTGGTTTGTTTATTCATTAAAAGAACTGTCTACCATCCTCCACTGCTTCTAACACCACAGCGTTGATGAGCTCCTTTCGCGGAAATTCCGGCTTTTGGTGTCGATGGTCGGGAGCAAATAATCATCATCTTTGCGTGACCGAGAAATCGAGCATCTTTGTGTGAATGAAAATTGAAAAAGATGCAAATAAAACGAATAATAAGAAAGTCGTATTTTCGCCGCAAAGGCGAAGCAATGAATGCGATAGAAAAAACTTGGAATGTAACATTGAGAACGGCTAGCAGATAGGAACGTTCAGTGCGCTGCTCCCGCACAAATGACGCACGAAAACAACAGAGCTAGCCGTCTGCGACTTTTAGCTCTCCCAGCCGTTTCGATAATAGTATCGATACCAAACTTGGTATGGTGTAACATGACTGTATGAAGAACATATCTGAATGGTCATTACAGGAAAATCATG